GTGTGCCTTTGGCAGTCTCAGTTTTAATTATGAAACACCAAAGAAAAGAAACCTATAGCTTCCAATCCAGGGGGCTTCTGGGAGTCATCTGCCTTGGGTTAAGCCTCTCCTGGGAAGATACTGTACATCAGTCCTAACATTGTGCATGGAACAAAAGGTTGGGTATCACGGGAGACGGGTAGGAGGGGAAGAGATGCTGAACCCACTACCTGCTGCAGCAAGCCTGCAGAGCTCCCATACGCCTCTTACTCAAAATGATTCATTATTATTAAATGTCAGACCATATCAATCTCCCTCCTGAAGCTCTCTGAACCCTTTTAAGGTTGCAGTAAACTGTAAATCAGTGGGAAAGGAAGGAATTCATTTTAATATTATTCCTGTTGTCCTAAGTGGCAAACCCATATAGTTCAAATACATTGATTAAAACAGACTTCTTATGCAGATAAAGCGCTGATACTGTCGGTGCCCTGCACCACTTCACGCCTGCAGCAAACAGCTGCACACGCACACACAGGTTTGTCCATAAATCAATTTGGCTGTGGAAACAGGGATAAGTCTATTTACATAGATGACTCTGATTCTCAGGATGTTTCTTTTGGTATTAAGCTTCACTTAACAAGCTTGAATGTGCCTTAAGAGCTAAATAAGTGAATTGAAAGGCAGATAATAGTCAGTGTAGTAGAGACACATAGCTTAAACTTATACATTAGGCATGTTTTGATTAATCGTATGCCAATTATATTGATTTCTACCATGCTCTGCATTCGGCAGCACTAATCCATCGCATGTACAGATCATTTGCGAGAATCCCATTAAAAAGCACTCTGTTTTAATAGTTTAGATAAGGCTTTGGATTCTGAAGCCTTTTTGAAGAAGATCATAAGATGTTTATGAATACAGTGCAGTAGTCTACTCAAAGGGTTTAGAATGACAGTATGTCTGCTTAAGATATGGGAAATTGTTTCGTTTTTTTATCTACAAATGACATGGTAAATACAGCCTGAAGAAGTAACCCCTATATATGCAGTTTACTCTCATTTATGATTTACTCTTCATGTATTCATATGGAAGGTTTCCTCCTTGAATCCTTAAAACTTGAATTTCGCAAAAGTAATTTAGACATCTAAAAAGAATAAATTAGTTTGGGTACCAAATAATTCAGTTGCTTCATGAAAGGGTTCAGGCCAAGACTTGCACGTAAAACTGACATGAACAGAAACAGAACTGAGCTGCTGGCCTGCTCATGAGCAGCAAGGTAGCCGAGCCGTTTGAGAAAACATTGTGAAAACAGACAGAAAATAGGCCAGTGCTGTTCATCCTGATAAAATGTCCTTGACCAACATACTGAACCGTTCTGATACCCTCTCAGCAGAGGGCTCTGGGTAATATCTGGGACAGGGAGTGTGTTACGATAAGTCATAGATCGTGTGGTTACACAACCAATCATGTTCTACTTCCAGCAAACCGCTATTCCTCTTAAATCAAATCCCTCATTCAGAGCAAATCATACAAAAATGGTAATGCAATAATGCACCTGCTACTTCAAGATATAGAGCTGTATCTGTTATGTGATGGATACTATCGCTCGAGGGGGGTCAAAAGCTGGCAAAATAACACCTCAGGGAGACTCATTAAATAGAGTGAGTCATCATTGAGAGCTGAGCTGTGCTATCAGGTAGCATAGAGAGTAGTGAGGGGAGGTCCAGCTCTCTCTCCACTACTGCCTGAGCCCACTTACAGCAACAGCAGCAGCATGTCCTCGTTTCATAGTGACTGCTGCTGGCACAAATACACAGAATATTCTGCTTCCCAAAAAAGTATCGAGCTAATGTAGCGGGAGAGGAATTAAGTAACAGGCATGTGGGGAATCGCTCATCAATGTTACCTGTGTCCCTTTCCAACACAAGACTAATGTTTGACTAAGTGCTGCAGCCCACCTTAGCTTCACAAGGATTCACTGTCAATGCATAATATTTAGAAAATGTATTCAATTACATTATTTAGGGGTCAGGCTTATGCAACTCTAATATATGACAATATTCATATTTGGTACAATTAACCAAAGTGCAAACCACTGCTGCTTTGGCTTCTTCCTAAGCTTCCATAGCTAGTGATAGATTTAGGACTAAAATACTTTCTTAAGCTCCTGTCATCTTTCCAGAATTTAGAGATCAGAGTAATGAGGTAGGACTTTACATTTAATTCTGTAGCCATCAGTGGTAATCGTAAGGTCATAAAAAGGGTGGGTGTAGGAAAAAGCCAATGGCTTCTAAAAAAAAAAAAGATTTTCACTGTTAAATGGACAAATCAAATGTGGTAATGTGAATCTACGGTAAATCCAAGTTAAGCCAAAAGTCAAAACATCTGCAGCTACAACTTATGATTTATAACATTACATTTAATTCTCAGAAACTAACACCCATAGGTGCATTCACAGTAAATATAATAATCATTTACCAAGAACACAGGAGATGAAAAGGAGGGAGATCATGAAGTATCTCTACTCAGTTGTACTGCCTTATCCTAAGGCTCTTTGTAGATCAGAGGTGTTCAGACACCTGTTGACACTGACTTAATCTGTATATCATCAATACAGAAACTCTATTCAACTCCTGTGCCCGCGGTTTACCTCAGCTGACCTGCACACAGGACGGTGAAATGTCTGAGGGGTCTGAGAGGAATGCTTCTGTCCACATTATGGAAAGTGAGAGATTCACTGCCTGCCCGTCAACCTGTCCGTCACACAGTCAGAACGAGGCTCACAAAACAGTGACGGAGAGGTTGAGTTTCATGGAAGCATGAATTATATATGACTGAGTGTGAGGCCCATGAACACCGCTGTTCACTAAATAATAATGGGTTATTAGAGGGATAACAAAAAGGTGACAATTTCTAATGGGTTGAAAACAGTGGCCATGGTTTTAAAATGCCTTACAATGTTTAAGGAAATGAATTGGAGCCGCAAGACACATAAACAAATAAAATATGTGGGCTCCTGTACAGTCAACAATTCCAATGTTATCATGGAATCTCTTTAATTTAGTTTTTTATCTTTTGAACAAAATACAATTTTTTTTTCCAACGATAAGTAGACTTGGCTTCAGTTAAATGGACTTCACCAGTGCCCTGTACTACGAAGCCGGATTTTCGGTTAGCAAGGTAACTTCAGGGTTAACTCTGGGTTTTCTGTCCTACGACGCTGGTTCACTTCTTACCGGGGTAGATCTCCATGGTAACTTATGCTGAACACCAAACCTGCTCCGACAAAAATCACAGACTGTGTGAACATGAAAATGAATAGAATATCACCTCCCATCTTCAGAGCAATCTGACTATTATTACATTAGCGTTAAGAAGGCTTACTTAAATATCTGCTACAACATAAGTAACCGGATCAAAGTAACATTATGTACAGTGTGAGAGCAGACATCGATGTGTTCCATTATCATTCATATCACATCATCAATCACATCATAATGTATCATATATTTCCTTATCGGCATCAGCTTCGAGAGCCGTATCTGTAGTGCAACACTTTGACACATAATGTATGCCAAAGTATTATTTTAAGCAACACACAAATGTAATTAAAGTCAGATCCACTCGTGTCTTAGACGGGGCAGTGATATCATAAACCTGTTAATGTACGCATTCAAACNCTCCTGTGTGTTGTACTGCTTTCTGGGATCGTTAAAAAAGCAGAGAGTTTGAAGCGTTATATTGCACAGTTCTAAAGAACAGGTAGGACAGAGCAGGTGACCGGGGAGGGTTATTGGCTGTATGGAGGTTTGTTTGTACAGAGTGGTGAAGCGGGTGTCTGCTTTACGGCGCAGCTTTGAAAACTCAGGGCGCAGCGTCTGTCGGATCCTGAGCGGACACACAGGCGGGGTGGGCTCGTCTTACGAGTCCAGAGATCAGCTGGAGAACAAACGGCAGACAGATGTCAGAATAGAAACATAAATATAATATTTCACCAATTATATTTATTCTCTTTTTACTTTGATCCTCCAAATAAAGTAGCTGGGGGGATTGATAAAAGTTCTGATTATTAAAAGTGGGTCACATCTCTTCATGTCCTAGTACAATTAGTCTGCAGTATTACAAAGTTGCCCTCAAGTGAGAGATTTTGATCATTCTTCTGGGGTTTTTCTTGTTTTGAATTCATTTTCCTACGTTTGTTTTTCTAACTGAAAACTAGTCACTCTATTTCGAGTTCGACAAAGAACTAATCCTGCACTAAGTCAGTCCAAATCTCTTTCGTGTAATGAATTATTAATTTGATCACAACAACTGAACAGCCACTGTTTAATTTCATGACCTCCACACTGACGGCATGAATTATCCATGAAATCTATTTGTCTGAACCTTTTCACTTCAGCTTCTTTTCAACAGAAGGGTGAACTACACAAATAGACCCATTTCACAAATACTCAAAACGACTCATCCAGAACACACAGTGACGGAGTCCAGCTCTCCTCACCTTCCTGTGGCGGGTCCACACTGATCTCCTCCGTCTCCTCCCTCGTCTCCTCCTTCGCCTCCTCTGTGTCGTCCGCCATCTCTTCGTCTGCATCCTCGTCTTCCTCTAACTCGCTGGCAATGAGCTGCCGGGCCAACTTGATGTTCATGCCCTCATTGTAGTGCATCTTCCTCATCATCACGAAATGCGTCTTTTTGGCTGCAAAGGAAAAGAAATGAACTATCCAGAAGCAACAGGTGCATGCAGAATATGTAGTTATTCTCAGCATTACTGACACAAATATTGATCACATTTTGGAACACTTGGAAGACGCTCAGTAAAAGTCTTCTCCTGCGTTTCTATTGTTTCTGATAAACTTACTCTGAAAGGGGTCAGACTCTAAATGGGACAGTGAGGTAACTTGGGAGGCTTATTTCAAAAACAATAACTTTCAAGTGTTTGCTGCAACCTCGAGATCGATAGTTATGCACTATAATAAAAAGGTAGAAGGAGGGTGTGACAGACTTTATGGCACTGCCAGGCTGTGCAGTCAAGCAGCAATAAAGTGTTTATTGTTTTGGTTTGTGTGGTTTATTTCATTATGGGCAGCTAAAATGTGATGTCTAACGAAACGTTTTTTTTCTGTACGCAAGAAATCAACTTCAAAAGCAATGTTGAATTCATTTGGATATGTGAGATCCAAAACACAGCAGCAAACCTTTAACAAATCGAAAGAATACTTGAACCAGCAAGTCTTTATCTGCAGCTCTAATCATCTTAAAACACTCCTAAAAAGGTGGGACAATATGTTTACAACCGCGAGTCCAAAAGTGAGGTCGCAGCTCCGCAGTTGGATTATTTCGATCCGATTTGCAGTTTCCAGACTGATCACATGATTTCACATGAATAGTTCAGATATAAATGTGAAACAACAAGTAATCACTGACACCTGTTAAAATGCTTGTGTGTGTGTGTGTGTGTGTGTGTGTGTGTGTGTGTGTGTGTGTGTGTGTGTGTGTGTGCGCAGCTTAACTGACATCTCTGTATGGGACAGAGGTGTGTTTATACATAGAAGGTCAGGGAACAGGCAAACGCATACTGACACGGTGTGTGTGCGTGTGTGTTTTCAAAGAGCACACAGAACGCTGGAGCCCTTTCCAAAGCGATATGTCTCCTCTCCAGCACACTTCGCTCTGCATGGAGTCACCCTCACAGCTGCAGAGGACACTTTCAGGTGGAGTGTAAAGGTAAAAATAAAAACAGGTGAACTGTGGGACATCCTGATAATCTGACACGGGGACGAGACGCACAAAGGCAGCAATAGGTGTGGATGTGTTTAATTTAAAAAAAGATATTCTATGTTTACCTTGATTTTCAGGAGAAAGCTCCTCTTCCTCCTCCTCGCTGCTCTCTTCATCTTCTTCTTCCTCTTCTTCCTTCATAAAACGAGGCTCTGAGCCCTCGGCAGCTACCAGCCTGGAAAGAACATAACACACACAGGAAGAATGAATACGTTAATAAGAAATACAAATGAGTTGCTAGTTTGAGTATAGAATCTTAACATGAGACGAACAAAACATCCTCCTAAAGTCATTAAAAAAAAACTTTTGAAATGGATTTCTATTAACAGAACAAAAAGAGACAGATGGAGAGATATTGGGCGAGGGGGAGGAGAGAGTAGGCAGAGAGAGAGGGAAGAGATGTGAGCAGGCGTGTGCGAGTACTCAAGCATGGGACAAAAATAACAAGTTACTATCCCCGCCTCTCACGCTCACAAAGAGCTCCGACACACTGAATAATGGTTTACGGCTCAGCGGACGCCACTGACTCGGTGCTGCTGCCCCGGGGAAGCTCTACTGTGCAACCGCTCTCACAGAGCGCTCACATTCACCCAGAGAGGAGACAAGTCAGTCCCTGCACTTTCAAAGCACACCAATCATAGTGTCAGATATCCAAGGTGGATACAGTCAGACAGGAAGTGAGAAGGTGATGCAGTGAATTAGAGAAGAGGGCCTACAAAAAGCATAGCTGGATAAATGATGGATGAGAGAAGAGACTGAGAATGGATGTGGTGAAGATTAAACAACAAGAGGACTGAGTAGAGCAGCTGCTGTTCTATCTGGAGCGTTCAGTGTAAAACAATGGAAGGCACTCCGCGTGGAAGGATGCAAAGGCGGCTAATTGACCTGAAAGCTTGGAGCCAATCACTATCCTCTTTGTGCATACACTCTTACTAACTCATCCCATCCCTGCATCTGGCCCACAGCAAACACACTCCTCAAGCTGCCTGCAATTTACAATTGTTACAGCAGAGAGGCAACGATAGCTTGATATTCCTCAAGAAGCATGAAAAGAAAAATATGAAAGATGGAAAAACTAGAAATTAGACAATTCACAAATGAAACATCCACTACCAATAACATTTTAGTTTTTCATTTCCTGCCTCTGTGAATTGCTTTTAAAAAGTCCAAGAGACGACATGTTCACTTCTGTATTCAGATTAGATGATTCATATAGTTTGACTTAAAGTCAGTTTTTCAGTTGGAAAAGACGAGAATATCTTGGCAATGTTTAAGTTTTTCAGCACAAGTATTTATATTTACTGTGACACTCCTAAAGTGGTTGCGCAAAAAGTAATTTTTATCAAAAAATTGTATAAATACAAATTGAAAAGACAGCTTGCAGAGTCAAGCCCTGTGGAAGCACATAGACGTTTAGTTAGACAAGCAAAACACAAGTGTTTGTCATTTCTCTAGATCTGTTGAGCATAAAGTCTGTGGCACCAACACAGGCTGTGAGAGTCAGAGCCATTCCTCACAGCGCATGACGTGTATGCCCTGAAATTCAAGGCTGTTGGGAAACCTCCATAAACCCATTGTTTGTTGATCAGCAAGTGTCAAAATGAGAACAGTGAATCATAATGCTGTCTGAGCAGTCTGAGGACACGCCACATTTAATGTAGTTTGGATACTGATGCTGACCTTTAACAAGGTTCAGTTCTCTCTCAAAGGAAGTTTGTCCAGATACATTTAGTCAACCCAGCCTGGAGCATTGTCCAAGACAGAAGCAGTGAAGTCCTGGAGTGAGGGAATGCTTACATATCTCTGCAGAACACAATGAACAACTAAAGAAACATCTAAATGTTCAAATGCAGCAGAGCTGTTACAGTGGCAAACCTAATCGTGTTCTCTTCCATTGTTTGCTTTCTCCCCTTCACACCACTGCACTAGCTTTGTCCTAGTCTCCCTGCAGTCATATATCTTACTTTGATGCCAGGTCGTCCGCTGCGAGTCCGCTGTGGCCCTCCGAGTCACTCAGCGCCCCTTCATCCTCGTCTTCCCCCACCATCCTGAAAGAGAGAAATGAACTGAATAAAGATAAGCCGGAAATGAAGCGAGTGAGGAAGGATTAGGAAGGAAAGGAAATGACAAAAATAAACAGCTGCTGATAGGCAAACAGTCAAGTTGATAGAGAGGATAAAGGAGAGGGCAGAGGTAAGAGTAGACAGGAAGGAGGAGAGTGAGGAGAGAAAGAGGAAAGGTCTGTGACAAGGGTGACCTTCCCTCTGCTGGCATATTGGATCACAAACCTGCTGACTGATACACACACTGATACACACACTGACGAGTCTAAACTCTTATTTTAAATGATCCAGAGTTATTTCTTAGTGTAGAGGAGGTCTTTAAAAACCTCCCAAAAAGGAATGTCTTCAGATAGCTTTTCATTTAAAATGTAATATCAAAATTATTTTCAAAAATAATTTCAGACCAATTGAATCAAATGTTATAAAAAGGCAAAGACAAAGGGGCTCCGACCTGTTGTAAGGAGTGCTGGGTTCATCGATCTTCATCAGGCCATAGTCTTTGTCGGCCGGGTGGTACGTGGCCAGGATGTTCATCTCGTCCCATTTCTGGGATTTCTTCCTGCAAACGGATCAAAGAAAGTTCAGTGAGAAGAAAACGACGGCTGAATGGAAACACACTCCATTTGGATCCACTGTTTCCAAGCTACCCACCAACCACACGATGAGTTCAATGCTAAGAATCTCAGTGATCAAGATAATTCATATCCTAAAGAGTGACTTGACAAAAGCTGTCTGGTAGACAGAATATAAATAAAGTTGGATTTAAATAAATAGAAATGATCTTCTAGGAAAGAATAGACCTTTTATCCTACATTTATTTAGAAGGGACATATGGTTACATTATTTGAGATACTCCGTTTGCTATTCACTAAAAAGCATCTCCACTAAATCAAATGTGTTCTATATGTGATGAAAACAAAAAGTGTTCTCTTAACAAGTTAGATGAAGTGAAGTTCCAATAGGATTTAAAGTTTTAACCATCATTTGATCCTCTTTAGGCTTTATATTGTAAATCAGTCATTTCGGCCTGGACTTGTGCTAACTGCTAACACCAGATTTCATCTAGGCCTGAACAAGTGCATAATAGGGCTGTACCCGAATATTCGTTCGTTGGCCAACTATTCGGTTCCAATTTCATTATTCGGATATTCGTTTTTTTTCCTAAATGTATGCTATCAATAAAAGCAAATTTCCATATTCTTACGGTACGTCCACACAGCAGTTTTGAAAAAAATCTTGGAGCTGGGCGTGTCTGAGAGCTTGGGGATTTTTCGCGACCAACAACCAATCACATGAATCTCCCGTCCCCGGCATACAAAGCAAAAAACCCCGGGGATTTTATGCGAGCAATATATATATATATATATATAAACTCCCCAAACAGGCGAAAACCTACCAGTTTCACCCACTGTCTCTGCCACCTCCCTCCATGCCTGNAATGTATACATTATATATATATATTTCTATTAATCATTTTCGGCCTTTCGGCATTCGGCCAACTGTTTCCTATTTTCGGTATCAGTTTCGGCCAAGAATTTCCCATTCGGTGCACCCCTAGTTTCAAGAGACAAAAACGAGTTGTGCATTCATAGTTTCCTCCTTGTGTTGTTTCGTCATCATGGCCTCATCTTAAAGAATACACTTTAGGA